TATTCTTGATTCAGGTCGGAGCTAATCACTGCGGCTTTAGTAATGACTTTCCCAAAGTCCTCTCCCTCTAATTCAATTCGAGCCAAGGGTAAACACCAAGGAATGTAAATCTAGCGGCTGCTTAACCCACACTGTCTCTCCTAGAAGCATCTGATGTGTTACTTGGTCCCATCCGATCAGATCGATAGTGGAGCCAGTATCTCGGAGTACAGGCATTTCTCGATTATTTACTCTCGCTATACTCATATAGGGAGCTAGCCATGTATCTGGAGATTCTGAAGTGCCTAGTTTGTTTACAGCTTCAGCGGCCTCTTGTCTTTTTAACCGAGGACACTGAGGTCGGAGATGACTATCTGAATTACATTCATAACATCTAGGTATTCTCCGTTTTTCGAAAACACTTGACTTCCATTTCTCCGCAGTTTTTTCTTTCGAAACATTATCATGGCGACGTACTCGATCTGAAAATTCTCCTTTTTTCCTTTCTTTAATATTTGAATCCTGTTCGGTATTTTTAGTAAAACCTGTTGGTTTTTTTTACGGACTTTCGTACTGCTTCATATTCATCTAATTTCTTCACACTAGTTCGGCAGAAGATATTATACTCGGCCACTCATCCACGAAGTGTTCGCGAATTTCGCTGTTTACTCGACGTTTAATTTGATCCGTCAACATTAAGTCTTTTAGCGCATCGAAATCTCGTACGTCTACTCCGTTTAACCATTCATCTAGATAGTTTTTTTAACTCAAAAGCAAAGTCTTTATATAAACTACCCGCACTACGCTGGTGTTGAACAAATTTGACGCGGAACGCCTCTGGGTTCAACTTAAACCGCTGCAAAAGAATTTTCTTTACGTAGGAGTAATTATCTAGCTCCTGTTCCGGCTCTCGTAGAATAATAGAAACAATGTCCATTGGCAATAGAGCCATCAAATGTGACACCCAGTCTCCTTCCTCTACCTTCGCTTTGCGAGCCTGACGCTCAAACATCGCTAAGTAAAGCGAAATATCCGATGATTCGGGATTATATCTCTGCATTAAATTTTGCAAATCTCTCATAGATCTCGGAATATTATTTTGAGAATTTTCTCTGCCATTATTGGCGTTTGTCAACCTTAGACGTTCTAATTCAAATTCTCTCTCCCTTTTCCCTTTCAAGTTTACGCTCTTCGGCTTCTTCGAGTCTATGTTGTTCGATTCGCGCTTCGATAATCGACTCTAGTGTTGCCTCGACGAATTTTTCGTCATACTGAGGGCTCTGTACAATGAGGTTTTTTAAGATCTTGTATTTTTGCATTTGGGGGAACTTCTAGACCTAATTCTACAGACAGATTTATGAGGTCTTGCTTTCTACCCTTGCCAAGATATGACATTTTGCCAGTGACAAAATTTTAAAATGATACAATAAAATAAAACTAAAGGTACCAGTTTGTCTACTCTGAAAGTTTCACACTATCCAGAAATACTACAGTAAAACAACATAGCAATGCAATTTATGGTATGTATGACATAAAATACGTACCATTAGCAACATAGGAAAAAAAATTAAAGTAAATTAAGCATTTCTTAAATAATCTGTTGCAGCTTAACACATAACCATACTTAATGCAGTATATAAAAAAAATTTGCTAAATACTTATTGGCAAAAGAATATTAGTCACAAAGAGCAATACTTATTGACTCAATTTACAACTGATGCGTGCTTTCTAAAGGTTGAAAATACTATTATAAAATTCTCTACTCATCAAAAACAAAACATTTACGAGTAACCATTTAAACATATAATTTCGATACACAAAAGACAAACTCCATTAAAATGCCTCTTTAAAAAGATAATGCCATATCAACTTACCCATTGCAGACAAAAAAAATAACAGCTCTTCTTTCCTTTCTTTTCTATTTGCACACGCGATTCAATGACCGAAGAAGGAAACCAATTGAACAATAGTCGACTGGGCGATTCTTCTTTCACTAAACACCAAAAGCACTTTCACTGCACAGAGGGTGGTAAAACACCAAACGCGAATTCACAACACTTCACTCTTGTCTGGACTTCTTGTGTCTTGTCTTTACACCCGAGGGAGAATTTTACTTCACACTCTTTCCCAGGCACTTCCGGAACTAGTCTTTGTAGTAGTTGATTCTTCACGAACGCTTCTCATCGATGATCCCTTTTCAGCTGCTGGTTAAACTCTCCAAACTTTACTGCGAAAGAATTCTTTTCTTTTCCACTGCTAGAATCGGCTGATTCTGAATGAAGATAAGAACCGGGACGGTTCTCCAAAACGATCACGTCTTTGTTTGTCTATTGGGTTTTTACGATCCCACCGCTGCCACCAATTAACACATACCTTCTAGCTGTAGCGATTTTAGAACTGTAGCAATTTTTATTGGTAGCGTAAATTAAAATAAGGTAAGTGTTAAATTTCACAAATTGAATTTTAAGGTAAGTTCAACTGCTTATCATAACAAAGTAGTTTGCTTAGCAAAGTAGTCCGTTTCCAATAGGAAACGATAATCACTTGAGTTCAAACAGAGGTAGCGGAGAAAAAGTCCGGCTACGCTTCTTTGAGGGTTTCTTTTTCCGCTCTTGACAGAGCTTAGTAGCGACTCGGGACGAGCCGTAAAATACACAAGAGAGAAAGGGGCTCTCTAAAGCTTACTAGCGACTCGGGAAGAGCCGTAAAATACAAGAGAAAGGCTCTCTCTTCTCTACGCAACGACTGCGTATTCTTCAGACTAAAAAACTCTCTAATTATTTTCACTCACTGTTTTTATGTCCAGGTTTTCTGGGCGTGTCTTGTGCGTCTGCTGCAGTGATTCGCTAAACGTCTTTTTCGGAGCATCTCTCCATTGGTTAACAGGCGCTGATTTGTTCTCAGATACTGTCTTGACAGCCTGAGAAACTGAAATTTTCCGTGGGAAAATTCAGAACGTCTTTTTGGGAGGTCTATCTAAATTATTTCGAGAAACAGGCAGTTGGCGACAGTCTATCGCATACACACAATGGACACTCCACAACCCGTGAGAACTTGTATGAAAGTTTTCTCCTTTCGTAAAAACAATATGCTTTCCGCACTTTGTTGGGGGTCACGTTCGACCTCAAGAATTCGTAAGTGTCATCAGGGTGGTCATCTGGCGCCCATTTGAAGTCTCCTTTTCCCAGACTTCGTGGGAGTCCGTGGGAAAAATAGCTGACGACGTTACAAAAAGTATTGAAGCGCGATCCCTTTAAAATTAGATGTTCTCACACTACATGATCGCCTTTCAACTTGGAAACTTGCTTTCGGCGGGTCGGCTATCTAATGGGGGTTAAGGGTAACACGGCTGGTAGACTCCGAGCTCAGCGAGAGCGTAAAAAACTTTAACAAAACCTTTTGGGCGACCTTAACCGATTTTAATTTGATTTAGACTGTATTTGGTTGCACATATATAAGAAACTAATGTTCCTAAATGCTCAGTTCCTAAAATAATGCACCCCAGTTCCGAAATTCTTCATCGCTTACGTTAAGCCAATGAGTTTAAAAAGTGAAATACGATTCATACATTACGTATTTAAAACAGTACATTAGGATATTCAAATGACAGGATACATGGATCTGTGAGTTCTAAGTTGAGTACTTTAATTTATGATATATAGTTTTTCGAATCCTAAGAATTTTTAATAGGCCGCGTGGCACTTCCCGTTCATATTCTGCATAAGATATGAGTAGAATGGTACAAACACTAATGAGTCCGTGCATGAGTCACGTACCTGTAGAAAAGTGTAATTTGAGAATGACGACAGTTCTCAAGAATGTTCTCTGGCTTAAAGAAACTCCAAAAATCATGAAACACCAAAATCTGGGATAAACTATCTAAATATCAAGTAAAAATTAGTAGAAGGCAAGCAGAGAACTATCTATTGTGTTACTACCTGTTAATATTATATTACAACCATTACATTTAAAATTTTACTAATACATTTACATTTAAAATTGCTCTTGGATGTTTTACATTGCATACATTATTAATCTTGTAATTATATTCATGATTACAGTTAATAATAATTAGGGAAGATTTCTCATGGAATATTTTAGCTAATTTATAATATATACTTTTGAGTTGAATAACGTTCAGTTCAGCATGTATGTTATTGTTCTGCATGTCCCCTCTTTGCAAATTTGCTGTAGAATATTGTTCTACTGTCTAATATGGGGCGCAAAATGGTTTTGTAAATGAGTATTTCGTTTTCTATAGATTTAGAGGCAAGAATCTTACTTTATGTGTTTGAAAGTTCTGAATAATGGATGTAATGTGTGGATTTTATATGAGGATCACCCCGAAACAACTGACTTGCTTAGCCAAAAGAACTGTGTTGTCACATACAGATACAGGTAGATGAGGGCACCAGAATTTCACCATTGGTCATACAGATGTAGTCAAGCCTTACTAACAGTGAAGTTCCTCCTCAATTTTGAGAAAGAATTCCCCTAGGCCAGACCGAGGGTTTCTCACCCCTCTTCTCCTACCAACAACTTCTCCAAAGTACTGCCATACAGTAGATTTCAGTTTATTTTAATTCTTCTGGTAAACAGAATTTACACTAATTTATCAATATTTATTTTAATTTTAAACTTGATTAGTCAGATCTCAAGTGTAAATAGGTGGTTGTGTAAATGTTTTATATTTTGTTTATGTTATGTTGTATACGTTTTGTGCAGGAATCGCTGAGAATTTTTTTAATAATACGGGCTCTTTCCTTTCTGCTTTTTATCCCGCGTTTTAGCTGTCTGTAAATTTTACGTCTAATATCTAATTTTACATTTATTTTCAAACCAAATTGACCTCTGTTTCATGGGGGAATGGTGTATACAACTGGGCCTAAGGCCCTACCCCTTATTGAACAAAATTAAAAAATGACTAATTATGTGAGCATTAACAAAGAAAATTTCTAAATAATAATAAAAATTAAATTTAGTTTCGTTTAGTATTCATTTCCTTCACACGTATTTGATTCTTCGCCCAGCGGACAGAAAGATTTGACGCGTACTAAAAAACACATTTCTCTTCGTTGTCTGTCTGTCTTGCTAAATTACTAATTGGGGCATGTTATGTTCTTACGCTTAAATGTGTATAATTTGGTTCTCAGTAAGTATATTAAAATAGAGTGTTTTTTACATAGTCGCAATTAATTTGGCTTTGTTTGAATTTTGACCTGAGACTGTCACTTGTGATGCCTTTCTCATCATATCTCATCGTAACTGTTTTAAAAAGTCACTGTCATATCACTAAAAAGTTTACTGTCATATTGGCCCTGATTTTAATAAATCCTATGAATTAGGAAGAGACTAAAAAAAACCCTGCTGTGGAATTTTTTACCTCTTTGGAGGATTTCAAATTTTTTGTAAAATTTTCAAGTTTTCTTCGCGAAAATCGTCTTTAACCCAAACTTTAGTTTTACGTAATCATGAATCAAATTGGCACACTTTTGCCTTTCATTAAGATTAATTTTTGTTTTGGGGAGGGGAGATGAGAGGCGTAATGCCTTTCACGAAGTGGATGATTAGTAAGAACCATTAAAATGTCAGTTTAACATAATCTAAGGTGACATTAAACCATCTGGAGCCATAGGTGGTGGTATTCATAGAGAGAATTCATTATATTACTAAAAAAAAATAAAAATAAAATGAGATCTTTGTTTTATAAAATGTCAGAATTTATTCAATTGAAAAGAATTTAAAGTTTAACCCTTTTTTAGAAAAAAAAAAATTGTTATAGCCATCTTTCAGGTTAACCCATATATATTTTTTCAGATAACGCAATTTAAAGAACTGCAGTTAAAAGAAACTTACTAATTGTGCAGTCTTTTGCTGTGCTTTGTTTGTATTTTGTTTTTGTTTATTTGTTATTTTTGTGAATTGCATGTGATTAAGAATCTTTGACTGACAGTTTTTATTGTATGTTTTTCATGCCATTTTACTGTAAAGCATTTTTAGATTTACAGTGTGATATTAACTAACATTACAATAGTTAGCAAGTTGATAAGGGATAAAATAGGTATTCTTCCAACCTGATTTTTTTCATTAAAAGTCATTGTTTGATATTACTGTAGTCACATATATTTTTAAAAATCTTATTAAATTATGCTCAATTTACTTTTTGCATATGCTGGTACAAGTTGCACACAAGTTTTTTTCATCCAGGTAATTGTTAAAATGCAAATTATAAGCAGTTAATTTGAAGATCTTTCTTAAATTATGGTAGCAGTTCTGTATGCATTTCTCGATATGCACTGTGTTTGTTTTTCCATTGAGTGTTATTGTGTATGTTCTTTCAATATATGCCACTGGATATGTACTTCTAGTATACATCACTGTGCATTTCACATGCCATGGAAAGAAATTATGCATATTTTGTAATTGTTTTGAGAAGCATTTACAAATCTGACCTTTCACTGCATGATAAATTTTAATTAATAATTGAACATATTAAATATGTACAATAAATAAATTAAAAATTTTAATCTATTCAGCAAGTGCCTATAGATTTGTAATAATTAAATTAGAAAAGAGTCTATTAGATTTGTAATCACACATTTGAAAGCTATTTAATCCTGTGATTAAGATGACCGCCTTTTTTCTTTCTGTGAGGTTTTCTTTCTTTCTTTCTTTTTTTTTTTTAATCATTTGGTGCATATTACTTTATTATTAGCCCAGAAGGGCTATTAATCTTGAAGCAGCATTTTGCTTTGGCTAACTATAAATGTCTGTTTCATTCTTGAAATTGTTGTCACCAAATATTATCACCCTGTATTATATTTAAAGAAATTAAATAATGAAAGTATGTGAAAAAACAATGGCACCTAGAGCCATCAAATTTTGAATAATGTAGTCCTCCTCCTGAATGTGGACCCTGGAAGTCGGAATTTGGAATTTGTTTTATTGTCCATTTCATATTTTGTGAAACTTTAATGAATTTTTGATTAACAAACTCAAGGATTTCAAAGCAAACATTGGATATACGGCATGGAAAAAAAAATGTTTTTCTTCTGTAATGCACGAGACTGTTGGAAATTCTAAAGATATGCTGTTATTAAATATTTTTAGCCCAAATGCTCTCAAAATGTGTATGTGTGTTTAAATGAAAAAAATCACCTCTTTGGGTGTAATATAAAGTCTGAAAGCTTTCATATTTTCTTAATGTTCTAAATATTATCTTAAAGATTGGAAATGTAAGAAAACAGGGATCAAAGTAATTAATTGTGCAATTTAGTTATTAAATGCTGTTTAGTACTGTTCTGTTACCAGGACTGGATTCAGAAATGTATCTATGTATGGATGTGCATATATGTGTATACATACAGGTGTATATACATATATGTATGTGCATGCATGAACACATACATACACACATTTCTGAATCCAGTCCCAGTAACAGAAAAGTACCTACTGTTCTTAGCAGATCCAGATATCTGTACCACGCAGAGGGTAAATATATCATTCTTTGAAAAGTAATGGGCTTAGAACATATCAGGGCAGAACAGTGATATTTGGAAAAGGGAGGTAATAAATCAGTTGTTAAAGAACCTGTTTAATTAGCTTCTCAAAGTTGGGTAAAAATATATTTCAGGGTGCCCCATGGCAAAAATTAGCGATTTTGGGCAATAGGCCAGCAAGGCTCAATTTCAAGATGGCTGCTCCACAAAATCAAAATAACAAGTCAAAAAATTGCACAAAAACGGTGTCCATGTACACTTTGGTCTATTTTTCACTTTAAAAAAAAAAAAAATCACAGAATTGCAGAAACTTGGCATTGTGCACTCCCTTGACTCTGTCCATGTACACATCGAACTATTTTTACTTCAAAAAAATCAGAAGAATGATGATGTTATATAATGTTAAACCAAAGTTACTCATTACCAAAATTGAACAAAATTTGTAGCCAATCGGAGCTCAATAAACTGCATTTTAAATAACACAATGAAATAAAATAAAAAAGGAAATACATGTTAACACATATACGCACTATGAAAAGGAAATATTGACTTACCATATTTAGAAATTTCTGTTTCTTCAGTCTGTAGCACACAAAATTCCTCAATAGCATTAAAAAACTCTAAAATTATCCGAACTAGAATATACATATTGCTGTCACCACATTAAATTCGCAAAAAATAAGAGTAAAAAATATCCTCCATAGTGCAGAACTGTTGGTGACATTTTTTGCATGAACCTTTCTTGCAATAAACCCATTCAAAGCTATCTGAATGATCATTATGTTTGACCACATGCATTTCCTGCATACAAACAGGACATTCATAGTGACTACTAAGTAAACCTTCATTTACACACCAGTCAATTAATGCATTTTTTCCCTTTTGTTTCAAATTGTGCAGAAACTTCACATTAATCTCATCACATACAGCCATTTTATGGTGTACAGCAGAAAATAAACAGTGTACAAACATTTCCGACATCCAATGCAGAAATACACCCTTACAAATATTTTCTCATCGGTCAAATTAACCGCAATCGCGCAACCAGTTGCGTCATAATAGGGTTTCCATAACATTCAACTACTCAGGTTACCATAAATGAAACGATGATTTAGCGATAATCCAAGGGGCACCCTAAAATATAGACTAACCTCAAACTTATCCCATGTACACGTGTGAGGTTGTTCAATAGCCACAACATGCACATGCGGGCCATAGACAATCCATGTGGAAACAGACCAGGTGTCACACAACAGCACTTTGCTGCTAATGTTTGGGTGGGAATCGTGGCTGACTGGTTGGCCCATGCATTTTACCACCTTGAATAAACGCTCACAAGTATCTAATTTTTGATAGAGGTCTTTCTGGAGTTGCTGATTGATGTTCATGCACAATTTATATACCAAATGGGTTTCAACATAACCAGGCTTCATCCCATATGGAACTTCGAATGGGACATTTGGAGGTATATGGATTAGACGTGGTGGTCTCATCACATGCCCTGAAGATTAACTGATTTATCACCTGTTGACCATTATTTTTGGAGTGCCATGAAGTCTATGAAACGGCAGTAGATTCTGAAATAGATTTTGTAAGAATTGTAATTGCTGCTACTACGATCCACGAAACGACCCACCAGTGGCTGAGTGGTAAAGTCACTGAACACTGGTAGTTCATTCTGAGATTTGAATCCTGGCAAAATGGATGGCTGCAAAGGCATTTTCATAGTTTTCCCCACATGTAAAAAGTATATGACCCAGTTCTTTGACCAGTTTTCAGCCAGTTTTCCCTTGAACTATTTGCATTTGAATCATATTTTATTCCATTGTTACTTAATATCAAACTGTATAGAGAAATTCAAAATATTTCAATGACAATAATTCTCCATGAAGGCATCCCTAGTCTTGGGCAGTAATCAGATAAACCGAACAAAACTGATCTGCGAAACATTCGGTATTTTTTAACATGTTCGCTGATTCAAGCAGCATGGGTGTCAATCATGCATTAATGCCAATGAGCAGAATTTTGTACACCTCCTGAAATACTTCTAACTATTGTATTATATACTATGTGTATTCTTTGGTCTAATAAAGTGCTTAATACTGCTTTCTATATTGTAATCTTGCTTTATCTTTATGTCTCTTATCACTTGACAGTGGCATCTGGGACCCTGCTTTTCTATGTGATTCCGATTCCTGCTGATGTTTTCTATTTCCCCTTCAAGTTGTATATTATGTTCAGAAACATGTGTATATTATATAGTTTATGGGATAATAGTATTAATAACTACAAATTGCACTTATTTATTTATTTACTAGAATGTTTTTTTAAATTGTACCGGCATATTATGTTGGCTGTAGTTTTTAAATATGATGTCATGGATTTAAAATTATATTAATGTTTTTAGTGTTACCTCTGTGTATTCATCTGTAATCTCCATATGTTACCTCCAGATTTAGATGATGAACTGTAAAGAACTGCAAGAGGTAATTGCATAATATACTTTGCTTTAAAGCTCTGTGTTTAACATTACATAAATCATCATCATCATCATAATAATAATAATAAAGATATCTAATTAAGGCCTAGTAGATTTTACTAAAGGCTTGGCAAGGATTATCAATCAGTTCTTATGTTCAGTTTTCTTAAGTTGAGGAATTCAATTTTTTAAAAAAGTTATTCTGGTAATATTAAGAGAAAAGTACCTTAATATGGTAATTTCTATGGTATGTAGTCTAAACATTTTTTCAGTAACTGTTCCAGTGTATGTGTATAGCAGTGGCACAGCTTGAGTTCATGAGGTGGGTTATCTCAACCCTTCATTCCAATTAATTATTGTCTTTATTAAGAAGTACAGTCAAAAGTCGTTAATTCGGACACCCATAATCCGGACCTCAAAGCTAAAAACATTCTGCGCATGCGCCTCGTTGACACTTGCGCATAGGCGTTTACGCGTGCGCGTATGACCTTTATGACTGCGCATATGCGTGTGCTCAAGTGCAGAATACGTTTTCGCGTGCGCGTTTTATGTATAACAGACGGTATAAGCTAAAATTATCTAATTATCTATTTCAGTTAATGTTGATGATTGTGTTGTTCCTTAATCTTCGAATTGGATCCGGCTTATTATTTTTTGCAGACTGTAAGAGCAATTTTATAAAAGTAAACTTGAACTTTCGATTATGTCAAATAGAATTTGCGATGCTGGAGCTCTCAAAGGATTACAAAACGAAAATATGTTTCGTTGTCCATCAAACAAAAAGTGGAATTGCTGCAAAAAATGGATAAAGACATGAAGAATGTGACAGAGAGGTTAGTGAAAACGAAAAAATTTCGATTGACAAGTTAGTCGGTATTCTCGGCACAGCAATTAACGGGACTTGAACAGCGGAACTTTGTAACTGAACAAGAAATTATGTCTGTTTATAGAATTAAAGAGAAAGTATTATCACATAAAACGAAGCAACTTAAACAACTTACATTGAAAGAAATGTTTAATAAAGTAAACAAATAAATATTAAGCTTTTTTTTTTTGTAAATTTTGATACCCTTTAGATCATAATTGTTCTTTATTTCATAAATTACGGTTTCATATTTTTAATTTTATAATTTCTGCATGCTATCTTACTAGATTTAAAGTGATGATCTATAATCCGGAATCGCCGAAGTCCCGACGAGTCCGGATTAACGACTTTTGACTGTACTAGTTTCTCAGTGAAACTTTTCAAAGTAATCGTATCTCTGATCATCTAGGGATCAGGATAGTACTTGATTAGTAGTATGTGTACTCTCCCCGGATGTCCAGACCCTCTGTCATCTCTGAATTAAACTGTCATTCAGCTATATGAGATAATATGCGAGATCCATTTCATTATTGTACTCCTAATTATTTATTGGAAACTTAGTACTTTCTAAATACCTGCACCCCCATCAAAACACTATTAAAAAATATTGATGAGAGATCTCACCATGTTGCCAATAAAGATTTATGTGGCAACCCGGTATGCACATAGCAGTTTTGTTCTATTTTAGGCTTTCCTGGTTGAAGCTTTCTTTAAAAGCCATACCATTTCACCCTCTCTTAATGGGCTGGGTAAGAACTATTCTGATTTCAGCCTTTTCAATTAATAGTCAATGTAAAATATGAAAATGCAATAGGCAGAGTATCTATAATGTATGCATGAAGTGCTGTCACAATGACTTTAACCCTTTAAAATTGAGACACTGCTTAAATAGCATCCTTACATCATATGTTCATTTATTTATCAGCAGTAGGTTAAGTTTGACTGTATGAACAGTCAGACTCTAAACTGAATCAGTCAGATTTTTATTTTAAGACATGTACGTCTTTATACTGAATAAAATTTTTGTTCAATAATTGAAGCTATTTGCATTTGAATCATATTTTATTCTATCATTACTTATTATCAAACTATGTAGATCAATTCAACATATTTCATTTTTTAAAAAAGACAATAATGCGAGCTTAAAGAAACTAAATTATTCTTCTGACCATTCCGTGACTTTTCTTCTGTTGCAAAGACTGATTAAGATCATTTAGTAGTCTATTTTTAGCAAGCATTTCATTTTGAATACTTATGTTTGTATTTGTAAACCTTAATTTCTATACATGGTTTTATGTGATTAGCAGCTACGTTAATTTTTAGTAAATTATTGTCCCCTTTGTATTAAATTGTAATTTTTGTCTATATTTAATTATACATATTATACAATTTTCATTAAACTTTCTGCTTTGTTATGCTTTTATGTATTTATTTTCACTAAAAATTATGCTTATGTATTTGACTGTGAAACTATCAGTGTTCTATTAAATTTATTCAGTTTGCTATAATAATATCAACATCAGTAAATGCTTTGAAAAATTTTAACTTTTAATAAAGACCATATACAAATATATGCATACACGTGTGTATATTTAGGCATTTGTCAGCAAATCTTCATAGCAAGATTTTCTCTCTTCTTTCTTTCAAAGCCCAAAGTACAAATCAAATACAAACTTTGCTCGTTTATAGATTTTCATTTAAAATTAATCTACAGCATTCTTTGCACAAGCAATGAAAGCTGTAGGTTAGTTTTAATTAACATGCATGTCCTAAGCATGTCTGAAAGTTGCTGAGTTCATACATATCTGCCAGCTTTTATCAAAGAACAAATATTCTCCACATTTCCCACATTCTTTGAAATTGTAGGTTGCCCTATCGTTGGCTTATCTTCAATGATTTTGCACCTACTTTTAAAGAGGTTGTATCATTCATACACTTGTGTTCTTGCTAATGATGCATCACTATATACTGTATCTCTAACATTTTGGTAGCAGATTAACATAATTTGCATGCATTTGATATGATGGCAAAATAACAAAGCAATAGCCAAAAGATTTCCGCCGAAAAAATAATTCTGCAACTTATTCAAATTCGAAACCGGAAGGGTTTAATTGCTATTTTATATTTTAAAACAAAATAATATAAAAAACTGTATTAAAAATTATCTGTAATCAATAAATGTACATTTTCTTTCTATTCATACTTTTTTACTCAAACTTACAAATCGCGCCAACCTGGTTGCAATAATACGTAAGTACCATTTTTTCCTAGTAATTTTTCCAAGTTTACTTTGCTACTCCACTTTTTATTATCATTAACCCATAAATGATAAGTGACCATGGATCTTGACAGCCTTTTTTTAAATTTTTATTTTAATAATTATGCATTTAATATAATTTTAAATATATTTAATTTTTGGTATGTCCCAGTGATAATTTTCATGGATATTTGGAGTATTGTTTTAAATTTTTATAAAGCGTTTTTTAATTTAAAGTAATATTGTAAAAAACTAAACCATTCTAATAATATATCTAATTGCTATAGTTTGAAATATGTTAAAATAATAGTATTTTGCTTTTAGAAACATTTGTAGAATTATTATAATACATACTATGTATTGCTCATTAGGATGGATCTGTAGTGTTGCTTTTTTCCATCTTTGTTCTTTCCTAAGATTTTTCAAATAAATGAGTTTAATTTGGATATAAATATCATAATATAAAAGTTCAAAAAGTATGCTTTATAAAAAAAAAGTAATAATATTATTTGTATCTAAATGCAGTAATATTATAATACTTAGCAATAATATAAAATGCATATTGTAGTTTGTTAATATGACAACGTATTTGCATTATAAACCATAATGCAACTTAAAAAATAGTATTACAAAGAATAGATGTAGGAGAAAGGATACTCTTTTTTATTGTAAATTAGTGACCTCACAAATTTTTCTTATTATTTCTTAATACATGTATATAGATTGCAATGTAAATGTAAGAAATATTATCCTTAGGAAGAGCTTGAAGTTCTTACTTCCATTTATGATGGAGATGAAAATTTCAAGCAGATTTCTCCGACGTGTTTCCAGTATAAAGTAAGTCTATAGTTTAATAACTTAGGAATAAATGTTGTTTAATAATATAATTCATTGCTTACTCTTTACTGATTATACTTGTATTCTATAAATGTTTATCTGTGTCTGAATCACAGTAATACAAAACTGTTAACTTAACTGTAATGTAAACTGTAACATCAGTAATACAAAACTGTTAACGTTTCACTCTGATGAATATTATTATGTGTTTATATTCGTGAAGATCGTCCAAATGAACAAACAAGTCAGATGAAGAGGGTACTATAGCTTTAAACTGTTAAAAATAACAGTTTTTACGAAATAAGGAAAGCAGGTAATATAGCTTAGGGACTAATGCTGTAATTTTCTTTTGTATAGGAATAAAGTTATTTGATTCAGAAAAGGTTGGATCTTTGTATTCAAAATTCTGGTATTTCAAAGTAGTAAGTATTTCAAAATAATTAAAATTCTTGAATTACTCACAGAACAAAAACTAAAATCACTCAATTTTAAATTTAACAGAGTTTCATTTGACAAACATGATATATTAAACTCTTAATTGATTGGAGCCATTTATAGAAAGCAGTATTGATATTGTTACCAAAGTTATAAGAGAAGTGCACCACTAGCACATTCTAGGAAAATCATTCTTAGGGTATCAAAGATATAATAGCTTCTGGAAACTTCCATGATGTTATCGGGTTGGGGAGACATCATTTATGAGATATTTTCTCCCTCCTTTCTGTATGCCTTCGTGGTGTAACAGTTAGCACACTTGGCGCATATTCGAGAATTCCAGTTTAAGTCTTGGCGAGGGCATTGCTAATTTTTCATGTCTCCTGCTTCAGAATAGTCTAATGA